GGCCTCCCTTGGGAAAGAGCCCGGGTTGGCCCTTTGCCGGGGCTGTGGAACAGGAGGGATGAGGGCGGGAGGCTCCCGGAATCCYGGAGTATCCAACGTGGCGCCAGGAGCCGGTCCCGGGAATGAGCAGTGTCCCACTTGGAATGAGCCGTGAGCGCTGGGAAAGAGCCGTGTCCCAGCACTGGGAAAGAGCTGTGTCCCGGCGCCAGGAATGAGCCGTGTCCCAGTGCTGGGAATGAGCCGTGTCCCAACACTGGGAATGAGCCGTGTCCGGGTGCCGGGAATGAGCCGTGTCCCAGCGCCGGGAATGAGCTGTGTCCCAGCGTTGGGAATGAGCTGTGTCCAGGTGCCGGGAATGAGCCGTGTCCCAGCACTGGGAATGAGCCGTGTCCGGGTGCCGGGAATGAGCCGTGTCCTGGCACTGGAAGCGAGCGGGATCCTCGGAGCGGCGCCGCTTTCCTGGGATTGCACTTCCCTCTGCTGGAAGGCCAGGAGGGCGCAGCTGGATCCCAGCTCCGACGGGACACGGAGCAGGCACTTCCCGCCGTGGGAATTCCTGGAGCGAATTCCTCCTCGCTCCCAGCAATCTGCCCTTCTCCATAATCCAGGCCGTCCTTCCCAGCAGGATGCCCTTCCCAACTGCGCTTCCTGCAGGGATGGGATGGGCTGTCCGGCTCACTCCGGAGCGCTGCACATCTGTCTGCTGAATCCCGGGAATCTGGGCTGCTCCGGCAGGAACCCCGGAGCCGCTTCCTCGGTGCTCGGGCCCTGCGCGTCTCCCCGGGGGCTCTTTTTCCCGGCGGATCCCGCTCGCTCCGGGGCTGCTCCTGGTGCCCGTCGGCGCTTCCTGCTGATTCTCCCGTGTCCCTAATGGATCCCCATGTCCCTCTTGGATCCCCTGGATCCTGTGTCCCTGATGGATCCCCTGGACCCTATGTTCCTAATGGATCCCCATGTCCCTAATGGATCCCCTGGACCCTGTGTCCCTGCTGGATCCCATATCCCTGCTGGATCCCCTGGATTCCATATCCCTGCTGGATCCCCTGGATCTCGTATCCCTGCTGGATCCCCATGTCCCTACTGGATGCCCTGTCCCCCGTGTCCCTGCTGGATCCCATGTCGCTACTGGATCCCCTGTCTCCCTGATGGAT